ACAAAACAATTAAACGCATCTAGCAAAACCTTATTGAGGAAGCTAAGTTTGTCATTCACAGTAACAAGCTTCCAACAATCGCACCAATTAATGCATGAAAGATGTGAGATCAGAGAGCCAGTTTTCAAGGATTTATAATCCCTAAACGAGAAAGTACTAGTTTTCCTGGGACAGTCAAAGGCAATATCAAGAGCCAAAATATAAGGTCATGATCAGAAACGAAAGACAGCTGATCAAATTTTAAAACTAAAGATTGGTCAGAGACAATAAAATAATCAAGTAAGCTGGGGTTAGCATTACACTCATACCGAGTTGGTATCGTAGTATTGACAATAGAGAGTCCAACACCTGCTACAGCATCAATGAAACCAAGTGACTCACGAGAAAGCAGGTTTACATTGAAGTCACCACAAATAACAATATTGACATAATCCACAACAAAAGACGACAAAATTTCAAAATACGGTGTGAGACGAGTTGACTTAGGTGGGTTATACACGCAGGAAACCAAAACATTAGTAGCTTCATTAGACAACTCAACGAAAATGAATTCAATACCATCCCCACTTGATTTAGATACAATCTTGATGTCAATGTAGCTCTTGCAATAGATCGCCACACCGCCACCTCTCTTCCCTACTCTGTCATTTCGGACCATATTGTAATTTTTCAGGCTATAGCACACATCGCTCACATCATTTAAAAACCAAGTTTCAGAGACACACACAACATCTACGGGCAAGCTTTGTCAGACATGCCTAATAAAGTCAATTTTAGCACTATTAAGACTACGTGCATTAAAGTGCACGATATTAAACCCTTTCTGCCTACCACATAAAACATTCAACATGGCCAGACTGTTTTCATCATTCATAACATTACTAGGAGACATAAGCAACACAGAGGAAATTAAACAAAAGCAACATTATTATAATAAGTTTAAAGAGAGTATTGAGAGTTAAAACCAAGCAGATCATGAACAAATGATATGTAAATACAAAGCTTATAATGCCAAGATTAACATCAATATAAAATACAGCTAACAAATAAATGAGTTGCAATAACATTAGGCGCCATAATAACATTGTAAGTCAGTAGAATCTAAAATTTTTCTAGCAGGTTGATCTTTTTCCACTCGTACATGTACAGCACCCCGCAAAGTGAAAACAGATGTTAGTTTCCCTGAGCGTCTTAGTTTAACAGCCTCTTGTAAAAGCTTTCTGTTAATAATTGTAAGACATTCAAAAATCTCAAATCGTCCCTCAAGACCGATGGCGCTAAGAGTAATCGGCTGCTTTGTTCTCTTACGAAATTCTCTGAATGCTTTTAAAGTACGATTTCGGTCAAGCGGGGAGTGAAATTTCACTATAACTGCAGAAATTCTGCTTTGATTTGAGCGCGGTTTAGTGCGGAATATATCCCTTTATTTGACATGTTCCAAAAGGATGATTGAAAACAAAAGTTATAATTAATCTTCTTTTTAAATTTACTTTTAATTGATTTCCATATTTTGTGTATGCTTTTGGAAATATATTATAATTTATGGTCCTTTGGAAAAAATTCTGGGGGGTTACTCTGTAATGCGATGCGAAAACAAATGATTCGCATTGGCACAAACTAGGGTTGTGCGATTATTCGATTACTCGAGCAAGTTGGTTAATCAATTATTCGGTTAATCAATTACTCGAGCAATCAAGATTTTGATTACTCAAAACGATGATTAATCGAGTTACTTGAAATATGATTACTCAAAAAAAATAATTTTGCTCTTTAAAAGAGTTTGCTTTGGAAAATGCTTATTTTCTTTTTTGCATTCTGTATATGAAAAAGATTTTTCGTTTTAATTTTTGAAAACAGAAACGTTGTTTTCAAAGTATCAAGGAACTTTAAGTACTTTATACTTACAGTATCGGTCATATCTATAGCACGCCATTTCAAAGTGATATTGTGTGCCACTTATGTTTATTTATTTATTTTTAAGAATTTTCAATTAAAATATAGTTCATTCTCAGACAAACCCCATATAACCCCAAGTTTAATAATTTTTAGAAAACTACAAAAAAGTGCAACAAACTTTTACCTAAATTTCAATCTTTTTTCTCGAAAGTTTTAGAATTTTTTTTTAATTACACAGTTTTTTAGTCCCTTCAATTTTAGTCTGATAATGTGCAAATTTCAAGTGGCTACGAATTGTCGTTCATTTTTTAGAATTGTTTTGTCGCATTGGCTTCCATATAATGAATAAACTCAATTTATTTGTATATGGAAGAAATCCGCAACACCTTTGGCGAAAAAAATTCTAAAAAATCAACGGTAACTTTTAGCGACTTGAAACTTGCACATTATCAGACTAAAATTGAAGGGCTAAAAAACTGTGTACTCAAAAAAATTCTAACACTTCCGAGAAAAGAGTTTAAAATTTAGGTGAAAATTTGTTGCACTTTTTTGTAGTTTTCTACAAATTGTTAAACTTGGGGTTATATGAGGTTTGTCTGAGAATGAACTATACTTTAATTGAAAATTGGGTAATCAAAAATCTTGCTCACTCGACTAACTGAACTTTTGAGTAATCATAATTTCCAATTAATCGAATAATTGAGTTATTTACTTTATGATTAATTAAAATTTTGAGTAATCAATTAATCGCACAGCCCGAGCACAAACATATCGTAAGTAATACACAGGGGTGATTGCCTATCGCATCGCATCTCTCTGTGCTATTGCATTAAAGAGTAGCCCCCAGACTTCCTGGTGAAAAACTAAAAACGCAGATTTACTAAATATTATGCCCTAATACTGTAAGGAGTATAGTATACCGCCTTATATAGAAGTAAAATAAGTAAGTTAACAAAAAACGCGAACTGCACGAAGATTATTCTGGTAACTTTAACTGCAAGTCACGTCCATAAACCTAGCTGACCCAAGTCGCCTAAAATCAATAAAAATTAGCTAGGAATTAGGTGTATTTTAGGTGTTAATTAGGGCCTCCAAAATTAATTTAGGTGTTCCTTTGGTTTCCGAGAAATTCGCAAAAATGTGTGGGTCAGCTAGGTTTACGTAAATTTTGGTTTTAAGATTTCCAAATAGATAGATAGATAGATTTTATTAAGTAGACAAAAAATATTACATGGATTGTAATAGCAAAATTTACAGAATATGGTAAATAAACCTTAATTCTACAACATATCATTTTTTATCACAGATTTTCATTTATTTTTCAGATAAACATTTCGGAGGAAAAAACTACTATGAAAAACCTCCGCTTTAAATCTTATAAGCTAGTTTTCTATATTTTTACATAAATACCTAACCTACATTACATATTAGTAAAGATTTGAGATCAAGTCATTATCAGTTATGCTACAGCGAATTTTAAACCGCTCAGTTATTTTTTGAATCTGTTCATTTATCATTTTTATATTTGACTCGCTATGGAGTCTTCTAGTGGAAAAATCCCAAGGCAGTCCTTGCATCATTTTCAAAACTTTGTTTTGGCATATTTGTAATTTTTTAATATGCGACTTTGCAGTTATACCCCATGCTGGGCAAGCATACAATATTATAGATAAGAAAATGTGATTATAGATTATTAATTTATTTTCCTTACTCAGATTTGAGTTCCTGTTAATCAAGGGATATAGCATTTTAATGGCTTTACTAACTTTTTCTGTTATACTTTTAACATGATCGCCGTAAGTGAGTTTTGTATCGAAAATTACCCCAAGGTACTTAACAGATTTTTCCCATGGTATTTCATAAGTGTTTATTTTTAATCTAGTGCTTGGTAAATAACAAGGACTTCTTTTTCTGGTGAAAAAGATGGCTTGTGTTTTTCCAGCATTTAGCTTAATTTTCCAATTTTGCATGTAATCAGAAATACTACGTATCGCGCGCTCCAGTTTTGATACAATTTCATCGCCAATCTCATGCGAATAAAATATACCAATGTCATCAGCGTACATAGCATATTGGCAATTTTCAACTTTTGGAAAATCTGAACAGTACAGAATATATAATAAGGGGCCAAGTACTGATCCCTGAGGAACTCCAGCAGGGAGTTCAATTAAGTCGGAGTACTCATTGTTCAAACATACACTGTAATAGCGATTGGTCAAAAAACTTTTGATTAGCTTAACGAAATGCAGAGGAAAGTTAAGGCTGATTAATTTATAAATAAGTCCATCATGCCAGATTGAGTCAAAGGCCTTTTCAATGTCTAGTAATATTAAACCAGTGGACTTTTTGTTTTCAAAATTTGCTTTTACATGATTTGATATGCGTTTTATCTGATGCGTCGTACTGTGATACTGCCTAAATCCGAATTGCTCATTTGGTAATATTTGGTTGGCGTCGATAAATAGACACATTTTATGTTTAACGACTTTTTCAAAAATTTTGGACAAGGAACTCAGGAGGCTAATGGGTCTGTAACTTTCAGCAATATTGTTTGGCTTACCTGGTTTCCATATTGGTACAATTTTTGCTGTTTTCCACGCTCTGGGAAAATATTGCAATTTAAGACAAGAATTTATAATATAAGTGAAATATAGCACCGCTTCCTTTGGAAGATATCTTAGCATAATATTTTTGACATCGTCATGCCCTGCTGATTTTCGTAATGGTGCTTGACATATAAGGTCTTGGACATATTCGGTATCTACGTACTCGGACTCCGGAGTGCCTAAAAACTGTGAGTCAATATGACTTATTGATTGGGCTACCAAATCATCTATCGATGAGGTACCAAGGTGAACTGATACTTTGTGATTTTCGAGAAATTTATAAGCAAGAAGGTTGACTTTTTCATCATCGGGGGAAATTACTTTTTCCTGATCACGCAATGGTGGTATTTGTGCATGCTTTTTTCGAAGTAATTTGCAAATATTCCAAAAAGGTTTGCTCCTCTTCTCGAGCGAACTAAGCTTCTTTTTCCACGATTCATTTCTATATTTGAAAATCTCACCTCGGATTTTTGCCGAATAGTATGTCAATATTTCATAGTCTGACCTTTGCCTAAATCTACTCCATTGACGACGATAGTGATTTCTCTCCCTTATTAGATTTATGATGAAATTAGGGAGTTTTAAAAAATTTGTTTTTGGTGCTTTAAGCGGGACAGCACTTTTGATTGCAACATTTATACTTTTAGAGAAAACTTCTATATTTTTGTCAACGTCTTCAGTCAAGACGATATCATTGATATTTGTTGGTAAGCTATATAGTGCATTTTTTATGGAACGACGATAAATACCCCAATTTGTGTTACTGTAATCCATTTCAAGGTTCTCGCAGCAGACATGGGCGTAGTGAACTAAATTTCAAGTACCACTAATATTGAATATAGTGAGGCTTATTTTTTTCTAATCCCACTAAAAGTAGTGGGACTCAGATTTTTTTTCACTACCACTAAATGCGTTAGTGGTAGTTGAAAAAATGTTCACTAAAAATAAATGCCTTTAGTGGTAATTGAATTTTTTTCCACTACCACTAATGAGTTTAGTGGTAATGTAAAAAATTTTCAATCAATTCAAAAGTAGTGGAATCAACAGATTTTCCACTAAACCAAATATAGTAAAGTAATTAGGCCTTTTCAAGTGATTTTTGGAAATGTATCGGCTTTTGAACATATGTACATTTATTTTCTAACATAAGTACATATCAATTTACAGTGTATTTCAATACAATTACAATATTTCTTTAAGATAAACACAAACACAAATTTCTTCAAAAACTTACACGTACAACGTGTACAAAATTTATTTGATATACATACAGCCGCACTCAGAGACGTTCCTTAAACTAACTCTAACGGGAACTTAACTAATGAGCATTAAATCTGTTAATGTTTCCTCTAAGAGTTAAAAATTATGAAATGAAAAATTTAAGTATGGCCCCAGTTGCGGCCCTTTATTTTTGTTGTGGCTGATAATAGACTTTAATTGCTTTGAACATTGTTTGCTTTCATTAGAACAAGTTTTTCAAAATTCGAATCAAGCAGATTCTTTCTGCGGGGAGCGTTTACTATCCCTGCAAAAGAAAATAGGCGCTCTACAGGAGCAGAGGACGGAATCGGAGTGTTAAATTTAAGGAACACCTCCCTAATAATTTTGTAATTCTCCAGGCAGTTGAGAGAAGTATTAGGATCTACCAAATAAGTTTCAAGCTGCCTTCGAATCTCCTCCTGCTCAGTCGTTTCGGGTACCCCTACTATTAAAGGAAGAGTTGAAATCAATTTACATCGTAAAAGCATTATCTTACTGCTTGCATCTTCAAACTCCAAAAACGAGTCAGATGGTTCTAAAGTTTTTGTTGTTTGTATCGCTAGGTTGGTTGATTTGGGAATGAACTGAGCAGCGTGCTCAATAAATAAATGTTTTAAAACATCCACAGTTAAGTGGGGTGCTGTTCGCTGCAGCACTGACAAAAATCGGAGCTTGACAGCTGGACATGACATCGCCGCTATGATGGCCAAGTTTGCCTCTTCATCTCCTTAAAATTATAAATGTGTAAAATTTCTTTAGCTTTAAAGTCGAAAGCATACCTTCAAAAAATTTTTGAAATCTCTTGTGTAGACAATCTACCAGTTCGCTGCAAACAGAACCAAGCTCACGTATTTCAAAGCTTTCTTGAAATTTAGTTAGTTTGATTTTCAAAGATATTAGGGCAGCAATGAAGTAGCCGAAGTACATATGTTGATCTGCCTGCAAAAAGTCGATGGCACTTGCGATAGGCTCCATTAACTTAGTGTAACTCTCCAAGTACTCAATATCGGACATTGCAAATTTCGTTACATTTAGAGTTGTGCATAAAGCCGATAGCTTGTCCTTGTGCTTTAGAAGGCTTTGAACACTATCAAAGAGAGAGTTCCAGCGTGTTACTGTTGGTGTCTTGAGTGATGAACACAACACATCTCTTATTAGTTCCGCCGATTTCGGACGACCACATTTATTCCAAATATTTGAACAGCTAAATAGTAATAAAAAGAATTTAATTTCAACACAACGTAACACATTTTTACCGCATAAACGACTGCTTGTGGCGCGTATAAAGCCTTTCGTATTTTTTTATAATTTGTGAAAAATCCGTTGTGGACAGGAGGTTCAGTGTATGGCTGGCACATCGAAAATGGCCCGGCAATTCCAGTGAGTCATTCAAAAATTCAAAGTCATCCGATTCATAGTCCTCTGAATCGCTTTCATCATCAATCGTTTTATCTATGTGTGTATATCACAAAGGTAAGTATATAGGGGTGATCCATCTAGACCTTTTTCAAATTTTTAATAAAACAATTGAAACGGAACTGAATGTCTGAATCTTTATTATTATCCGAAAGAACAATCTCTGAAATTTACTTTTAAAAAATAACACAGGTTTACAAAAAAGAAAAAAAGGTTATGCATACATATTAAACCAAACCTACATATATATCCCTATGTTATTCGACACGCTGAATGCGAATCCGAGGTCCGTTAGCCTCCATCACGTCAGGTTCATGGTCAGTTGAAGGTCAAGTAGGAAAAAATTCATTGTATAAACCTAAAAATTCATATATGTATATTGGGTTTTAGATTCGCTTAACCCGAATCCGAGGTTTGTTAACGTCCATAATGTAAGCTTCGAGGTCATTTGAATTTTTCCCTACTTGACCTTCAAATGACCACGAACCTGACGTGATGAAGGCTAACGGACCTCGGATTCGCATTCAGCATGACGAATAACAGGGATATATAGGTTTCGTTTAATATGCATACACTTTTTTTTTTGGCAAACCTGTGTAATTTCATTCAAATGTTGGCCGCAGACAGGGCCAACATCATTCGCGTAATTCGCCCATTGCTGGAAAGAGTAATTGAAAATTGGGCCTTCGGAATGGACCACCTACAGCGTAGTCGCGGCCAATATTTGAATGAAATTATTTTTAAAAAGTAAAAGATTGTCAGAAAGTCAGAGATTGTTATTTTGGGTAATAATAAAGATTCAGACATCCAGTACTTTATAAAAATTTTAAAAGCAAAGTTCTACATATTACATAGTGATGGGCACACCTAAATACTTTTGTACCTAAAGTACCACTTTGAGTACTAACTACACAAATACTTATTATTTGGAGATGTCTAAATATTCAAGTAAAAAGAACTTAGGACCATATCGGGATTTTCGGGACTTATATCGGATTTTTGGGACTTTCGGGATTCTCGGGAGTAATTTCAGGATTTTTGGAACTAATTTCGCGATGTTTGGTGCTTTCGGGACTATTTCGGAATTTTTGCGACTAATTTCGGATTTTTATGAGTTTCGGTACTATTTAGCAGCTCCTAAATACCTAAGTAAATAGTACTTTGGTATTTACCACAACACATATACCTAAATACTTTTGTACTTTATACTTAGTAAATACAATTTTGCCCATCAGTGGTATTACATTGTCTCAATAAGTTTCGCATCAAATTTATCTTCATTTATTCGGTGAGTAAAATATAATTAGGGTATTCACAAGATGTCGTAAGCGTCGTAATTTCTTAAAGTCGTAAATTTTTTCAATGTAAAATAACGGTTGAAACGGTTTTAAGGGATTTTTAGGGTATTAAAAAAGCTATTTATATATTTTCTATCGGTTTAGCCATATTTTGGTGTGATTAAAAATGCTCTAAACGCATTTTAACCGTTATTTTACATTGCAAAAATTTTACGACTTTAAGACATTACGACGCTTACGTCATCTTGTGAATACCCTAATTGTGTCAATTTCTATTTTTTGTGAAAATCTGCATACACCAATATGTAAGTATAAACTCTTTTAACCGGGATTTTCGATTATCCGTGATGAGCTCGGTATCGAGCAACCCGGATAACCGAAGTTCAACTGAATGTACAAATACAATTTTTCTAAACCATGTGGGACTCAAAAGTTACCTGTTATACCATATTCTCGAAACGCTTTGCAAAAATTGGAGCCATTGTCAGTAATCGTGAGTATTACTTTGTCATTGTTCAAATTAAATTGTGCATGAATAACACTTATCATCTCTGCGATTCGGTCGTATGTGTGGCTCCCTTTAAATCCACGGCAAGCTAAAGCTACTTGTTTTCTCTGGTAACTAAGTGGACATATCCAGTGGCATGTATACCCGAAGAATGATCTCTGACCAGCGGACCATATATCTGCAGTTGTGCAACAGTACTGGACTTTAATAAGTATATCAGCTGTATTTGACACCCACTCTGCGTGTTTATGGTTGAGTATATTTGCAATTGCACGCCTACTTTTAACTTTTAAATGACACCCTCTGAATAGACTTTGAAATTCGGGCTTTTCAACTGTACTTAACGGACTATATGTAGCTGCAAGAAACATTAGCACCCTCTCATTAAACTCCTTGCTCTTTGTGTCACATTTATTAATTCTTTTCAATTCAGTAAATTGTTCATATTCGCTTTCATGATGAATTCTTAAATGCCTAATGAAGTTTGAAGATACACCCAAAGAGCCTTTTATCTTCGATGAACATATTTTACATGCAGCCAAGATGCCCCCCATTTTTTTCAAGTACTCTGTTTCATCTCTCTTTATAAAATATTTAATTTAGAAGCGATAAATATAATTATAAAACTTCCTTACCTTTTGCACCACAGTGAAAAATCTGTTTTCAAACAGAATACTGTTTGTTCCTTTAAGTTGAAGTTGATTTAGTAATTTACCTATGCCTTCATCATTATTTTGGAAACTTCTATAAACAAAGTAGGCTTCTAGTATTTTCCATAAAATTTGGCCACATATGCATTACAAATAGAGGTGCTTATTTTCCACTTACCCAGGTTCTTGTATCACCTTTCTTGTTGTTTTTGACGGTGCCGTTTCAATAATAGCTCCCTTTCTTTTTAAAAGTCGAGGAGCACACGTTTTCAAGTTGCTACTACTTGGACTGAAAGTAGGGTCAATTACACTATCGTCACTATCAAAATCGAATGATTCCATTATATTTATTTATACATATAACTTTAAACAAAAAATACTCAAATACAAAAAACAATTGATCCACACGTGGTTATCGTTCACCAAATCAGTAACCTTATTAAGTGCAACGAACAGCTGAATAGTTTGGTAAAACCTACCAACAATTGGTGTAAGATCGCCGTTGGTCACATGGTAATCCGATCACTCGCCCAGTAAACACAATCTCTAACGCTAAAGAGTTAAATACTTATTAATTTAAATTAGCGTCTTGCTTGCACATTATGCTAAACTAAACCATTCATAATCCTTAATGTTTGCTGGGCTTTACATCGTCATGATGCTTGCTAGCGGGAAGCAGAAGCACAAAGCAGAAAAGGAAAAACGTACCGAGCGCTTGTATTCAGTACGGCCTATCTGCAAATTAAAAATGTGAGCTTCTCATTCAAAAGTTTATCTCTGACTTAACTGACATTAATTGTATTAATACTATATCGATTATTTATGGAACTATCTATTGAGTTCCAAAGGTAGAATCAAGAATCAGAAATGACAGTTGAGTCATAGATGGATTTACGGAACAGATAATTAGCTTTCGGTGTGTTCATATGGATAATAAGCCTTCGGTATGTTCATATGGACATACCGATATATGTACAAACATACATATGTGCATATACATATATGTACATATTAGAGGGCTGCATGAATTCATTCAAACTTCTAGCCAAACAGAGTACAGTAGATTTGAATATTTTACTTCACATACAAAACACTCAGCGTTTGGAATTTTGTAAGTTATGAATATACACAGCCCGGACTTTTTTTTCCGGGCAGAAATGTGCAAGAAGTCAATCTGAAATAACAGTTGTTGTTTGTTTACATCCGAGCGCAAATTTTGTAAAATACCAAAATGGAAAATAGCAGAAAAGTTTCAGAAATGTAGGTATTTGCTAATTTTATTAGCCATATAAGATAAATACACATAAAATCAATGTTTAGAGCTGATTTGTTGATTCCGGGCACTAAATGTGTTTTTTTGCGTTCCTCACGCTCTGGGCACTTTTGGCACGATTTGACTTATTTTTAACACTTGTGAGAGAATAACTTATTTTTACGCTCTAATTACCGAAACAGCCCGGAAAGCGTGAGGAACAAAGCTAATATAAAGAAATGTTTCAAATTTTAAATTTTGTGGGAAAACGCAATCAAAGTTTGATCAATTCATACAGTTGGTATACCAAAAGATAGATGGAAAGACACATATCTTCGCCATTTTTGGGAAGTTTAGTCATCTGTTACGCTGAACATATTCTCCTCATCAAGCTTATTAATTGTATTATGAAATCTCCAAGAACGTAGTTTTTAATTACATTTCTATATTATTAAACTTGCGATATCAGTTTTTCCTTACTACCAAGCATTAGTATTATTTAGTGGAAACATGGCTTTTTTCCACTATTTGCAAGATTTAGTGGAAATAGTTTTTAAGCCATTAATATTAATTTAGTGGAAATTTTGTCAGCTCCAATATCACTAGGCTGGGAGTGGAAGGCATTGTGCACTACCACTAGAAATAATAGTGGTAGTGAGAACACTGATTTTTTCCACTAAAAATGTTTGTTCATAAAATAAACCAGCTCCACTATCGCTATAGTAGTGGTAGTTAAAAGCATAGTGCACTCAAAGATTAATGCACTACGCCCATGTCTGTCTCGCAGTAGGAAAAATTTAAATTCAGTAAAAATTTTACAGGCAAGTGGTCCGAATTAAATTCATTCAGAGCTATTGGTTGACTCAAATGCATTGGAATATTTGAGAGTACTAAGTCTAAATTTGAGGGGGAAAACGTATTAGATGGTGGTACATACGTTGGCTGGTTTGAATATGAAATTGTAATTGGAGAAATTCGCAAAAATAATAAATAAATAATATAATAAATAAATTTTCCAAATATATATTTTCCAAATGTATGGTGTCAACAAATAGAGCTACTAAATTAGTTTTAGTGGCGTTGAAGAACACCTAATTCCAGCATATATTTGGAAAATTTAAAACCTAAATTTAAAGAGGTTTACGTAAACCTAGCTGACCCACACATTTTTGCGAATATCTCGGACACCAATGGAGCTACTAAATTAGTTTTAGTGGCGTTGAAGAACACCTAAAAGACACCTAATTCGTGCATATATGTATTTCGAAAATTAAAAAAAATTTAAAGATTGTTCATCTAGCTTAACAGCGCTAAGCTAGCTGAAAAACACATTTTTGCGAATTTCTCGGAAACCAATGGAGCTACTAAATTAGTTTTAGTGGCGTTGAAGAACACCTAAAAGACACCTAATTCCAGCATATATTTGGAAATCTTAAAACCAAAATTTAAAGA